GGAAACGTTAAGTCCGATTATCGAACCATTGGAAAAAATAAAACATTTAAGTCCAACAACACCACCACCCATAGAACTTAAGGAAGACAATAATATTGAGGATTCTTTTAAAATAAATGATTGGTTTAAATCTTATGATATAGACAAGACGTACGGACCAAAAATACGAGCAAATGGTAGTGTAAGTGTACATTTAGGTCAAAAAGAAATTAATCTCGTCAACAATACGATGACTATTGAAGACCTATCCTACCCGCTAACACAAGGGCTTGGTAATTTAATATTTTCAAAAAATCGTAAATTATACACCAAAAACGATTTAGATGCATATAAATCTATATTGATTCAAACATCAGCCCATCTCACAGCAGACGAGAAAAAAATTTTAAAAGGTGGTAATAAATATACGGATATAATTCAGAATTTATTTCGGTCAGGTAAAGGCTTATCTGTGAAATTACAAAAACATAATTTAGTATACTGGGACGATCCTAACGAACTAGTCGATAGATTGCGGTTACTATTAGCGTCAAAAGCAGCTGGTAATACAGGCGTTTCGAACGAAATAATATCGATTTTCGAAGAATTGCGCGAAGCCGGGTTAATAAAACATATTCCAAATGTCTAAACGAGATATCGCAGTCGAACTACATAAACCAGCGAGAAAAAATTATACACGGAGTAGAGTTAATGTTTAAGGCAAAAATGATCTGTGGCAAGCTGACTTGGTCGATATGATACCATATTCGAAAAAAAATAAAGGGTACAAGTATATTCTATGCGTTATAGACTGTTTTACAAAGTTTGCCTGGGCGATACCATTAAAATCTAAAACTGCTAAAGAAGTTTCCAGCGCAATGTCAAAAATACAGCTTAAACGCACACCAAAACTATTACAGCTCGATAAAGGTAAAGAATTTTACAATTCTACATTCGACGCGTAGATGGAGAAGCACAACATACATAAATATTCGACTTATAGTACTATGAAAGCGTGTATTGTAGAACATTTCAACCGCACATTGAAAGAAAAAATGTTTAGAGAGTTTACAGCACGTGGCTCTCACGAATGGTTATCTATTTTACCTTCATTGATTAAGGAATATAATAATTCAAAACATAGGACTATAGGAATGACACCAGTGCAAGCTGATGCTAATCCTACGTCAGTCAAAATTAAACAACGAAAAATTGTTAATGGAACAATTAAATTTAACATTGGTGATAANGGAAGCCCAAGCAACTGCTGTGTTTGAGTTACTTGAAGAATGGAATTTAATTGAACGCATTAATTGTATGTCCTTTGATACAACAGCAAGTAACAGTGGAGTAAAGGCCGGTGCGTGTGTACTTCTTGAAAAAAAAATGAAAAGAGACCTCCTCAGTTTAGCATGTCGACACCACATACTGGAACTTATTATTGAGAGTGTTTTTAATGCGGTAATGGGAGCTTCAAGTGGTCCTAATATCAAAATATTTCAACGATTTGCAGAAAAGTGGAACGAAATTGACGTAAACAAATACGAAAGTGGAATAATTGAAGATACAGTGGCTAGTAAATTAAATCCACAAAAATATGTTCTTGTCAAGTATATCAATGACCAGTTAGCGAAATTTCAGCCTAGAGATGACTACAAGGAATTGCTGCAACTTTCCCTAATATTCCTAGGAGATGAAACTGCTAAAGATTTTAAGATTCGTAGACCTGGCGCTTTACATCGAGCTAGATGGATGGCAAAGTTAATTTATAGCTTGAAAATTTTCTTATTTCGATCGCAGTTCAAACTAACTGCTAGAGAATTATTTGCACTTGAAGCCTTCAACGTTTTTGTCATTCAAGTTTATATTAAGTACTGGTATACTGCGTCTAGTGGAGAACTAGCTCCTTATAACGATCTTAATCTTTTAAAGGAACTCGATAACTATAAAAAATTAAATATAGTTATAGGCAACGCGGCTGCCAAAAGCTTCTCAAGACATTTATGGTACTTAAGTGAGACACTTATTGGATTAGCCTTTTTTGACAGCAAGGTTTCTTCTGAGATGAAAGTTAATATGGTTAAATCATTAGAGAAAAAAGGAGCTGACTTTCCTTTACGGCGTATTACAGTCGAGACGACTGCAGTTCAAACAGTACAATTGTCTGATTTTGTTTCTAAAAATAGCCTCATATTATTTACAGCCTTGGACATCCCCCAAGATTTCCTAAATCAGAATCCAGATACTTGGGAAAATAACAAAGATTTTATTGACGGTTGTAAAAGAGTTCAACATCTGAAAGTAGTTAACGATGCAGCTGAACGTGGTATTTCGTTGATTCAAACTTTCAATGGGATAATCACCAATCAAGAAGAACAAAAGCAGTATCTTTTGCAAGTAGTTGAACAACACCGACAGAAGTATCCAAATCCAAATAAATCTACAATCGATGATTGACATTTTGTGTGATGATTATTTTTTATGCAATATTATGATGACCTATAACTTTTTTATATTATTTTTAATTATTAATATATTTTTTTTTTATTCATACACTGAAATATCTATTATATTTTTAAAACAAGTTGCGCAACCAATAAAAATTGAAATTTTTTCTTGAAATTTTTTATGAACGTTGTTATTAGATGGATAAACAATTTAAGCTGGTGGGACTGTAAGAAATAATTTTTTTTTTTTTTATTGTCACCCTAATATATATATATATACAGTAGCTAATTAAATACAAAGGATATACAGGTTTTAAAATAAAATTACTATGCTAAATTTATAAGCATTCTCATCAGTTCTTTTTCTTGATCACTCCATTCACCCCCTTCTTCGTTTACCTCAAAGTCAAGTTCCGGTCATTCATCCCCGTCATCTTTCCTATAAAAAAAATTATATACGTAAAAGAGTTTTATGATATGTAATTATTCTAAAACTTACTCTAAACTAAAGTGCCCGTGAGCCAAGGTATGAATTTTATCTTCTAGTATCACCCTTTTATCGTCATAGCTGTTAAAAGTCAACTTATTTGACTTTATGGACTTATGGTCCTAAGCTGGTGGTTGAACGATCGGATCGAAACGTTCTCTCGGAACGCCTCCACTCCAGCTTCACCAAACAAACATTTTTTATGATCTTCTAGGGTCATGTGATGTTTGACTACGTGAGATCGAATCCCCTTAGCTTTAATTTTATCTCCACCTTCGATGTTAAAGGCATACGATTTCGCTCTCAGGGCAACAAACTCGAACATTGTACGACCTTTTGTCTCATCTGAAAAGAAACCAGGTACTTTTTTCCTCTCAGTCATATAGCAAGGATGATGACTCGGCAGGTCTGATGTATCCAAGCGGTCGAGTAAAATCGGATTATTCTTCAAATCAGAATAAAAGTCCCGCGTCTGAATATGGTATATCAGTGAATCTAGAAAATAATGATATTAATTAATTAATATATATATATATAAGGTTAGCTATATATTTACCTGTATCGGTGTACATAAGTTTTATTCTGTCTCCATAGTGTTTTTTCATCACGTTATAATGATAATCAAACATTAATGTTTTAGAGATCTCAAGCACAGCAAAACCTGTTCATGTGGTTAAAAATAAAAAAAAATTATAAAATATATAAAATTATAAAGTATATAAAATTTACCGATATAAATTGGCTTATAGAAATCTATGATTTTATTCTCCATTGTTACCGCTGTTATCATTTTATTTTCAAAATCGGTACAGTATTTGAATGTCGTCCGATTTATAAGTTTCTGTAACCTATTTTCGCTCGAGACAAGCTCCATCTTTATCCTTGACCTCATACTCTCCATGGTTTTTCCTGGAATAAAAAGGTTATAGAAGATAATTCTAATTATAGTATAATAACATACCAAATACGCTATTGTTCATCAGCTTGTAAAAATCTTTTTCAAACTCATTTTTGGCCTTCTTCCTCATTTCGGTATTTAAATTAATGTAACTCGCTAACCAAGGAGACTGTCTAAACTGTAGCACCCTATGCACCTGTATCAAAATTATTTTTATTTCATTTATCTAATATTTTTAATCAAGTATTTAAATATTTACTTTTTTAACTTTTAACCCATTTGCCATCGCCTGTTTCAAATTACGATAGTGCACGATGTAATGTTCTCTAGATTCGAGTGTTGCCATGAGTTTTGGTATTTTAGACCCGCGTGGTATACTTTTATTAGGCAAGAATGGTAGATCATTATGATCGTCATGTAAGTGCTGCGGATACTCGATATAGACTTCATACATTCGTCCTATCTCCGATGTTTCATCTAAGCATTCCAATCTATTGAGAGTAGGCTCGACCCATTTGAAGCCACCATACGGCATGTACTCGGACATGGCCCATCCATACAAATTGTTACCTATAATAATAATAATAATAAAATGTTTGGAAAGATATATTAAAAGATAGTAAGCTAGACTCGCAGTCTTGGTAAATTAGCCACGAATCCGGCTTACTCGAGTCATAGTTGGATGTCTTATAATTATTGGCTTTGCCATAACGTAGGCTGGCCTGTGTAAGTCCTCCTCTTATACCTTTTTCACACATCAACAGCATATCGTAATCGTGTAAAAGATCTAGCTTTATCGAGGTATATTTTAGGCATGCATCGAAGCTTAATCCAGGTGCGGTGTAATAAAAGGCAGCATCTAGGTTATATGTTTTCAGACATATGTCACGGAAATTTTCAAATACATCGGCTAGCAGAAGAACATCGATTTTGAGGTATAGATCACTGTACTCTCCAAGCGTTCGACAGTTAAAATTTTTCCAAACCTCTGTCGCATGTTCGTATTCTCCTTCTGTAATGTGTTCTTCTGTTAGTGTGCTATAAAAGTCTTCTTTTGGCGGTAAAGTTGTCTCTTCGAGCTTAGACCAATCATCAGTAAACTCATATGGATACACTCCTTTACGGGTGACAAGTGACAAGTCTTCATTAAAAAAATGTTTTGAGGTTTCTCTGAATTTTTCTAAGTCCGGTGTTATCAAATTTTTGGCTATAGTTGATAGTTTTGAAGCCATGAACCGACATGTATCAATAAATCTTAATGTAAATTTACTTGAAATATATTTTGAAAAAGAAATAAATTTCTCTTCGCTATTGGGTATCACCGTTATACTTTTCTCATCGTATCCCAACTCGGCGGCAATGAAGTGTGCATCGTAGTTACTCAGATTGTGCAAGAAACAAGGTACAAAATTCGGCATCTTCAATGATAAATTGCACATATTATAAATCGTCTGACAGAATTGACCAGACAGATGGCAGTGGTCTCTTACTTTATCGTTCAAAAACGTAAAATCTTTCTTACATAAATTACAAGTTGTAGTCTTATCGTGCTTTTCCTGCTCTTCATTACTTATAATTATTTCTATGTTTGTCTTCAAAAGATTCTCTATTTTTCTAGATATTTCGACAACAGTCTCTATAAAATTTTTAGCAACTTCAGCTCGCGTCTCAGATCCTCGGTGAATAATTACAGATGATGGTATATTAAATTTATCTAGTAACTCGATTGGTATATTTTCTGCTGCCTTTACATATATCCCATAACTCATAGGCTCGTGTTTTTGAAAAGCAGTTGTACTATCGCCTTTTCTCTCATCACATTTTACTAGTAGAGCCTCAAAATCAGCATAAATAACGATCGGATGTCGCTGCGTCTTACTCCAGCCCTCAAACTCTAAGGTATCCCCCTCTGACGGCATAACAGGGAGTATAGGTTTGTGAGCTCCACATATCTTCTTATGCTGGTTTAATGCCTCTTGTCCGCTCAATTTAAATTTATGATGCCTGTCATCAAATGTCGTAAAACATCTTTTACAAAATATAACACGTCCGTTGTGTCTAGTTTTCTGAGAGCTTATAAGGCGTGAAAAATCAGATATGTAAATATAATGTGATTTATCCTTTTCGGTAACTAAAAGTAGATCAAAGTGGTCTCGCTTCTCATTTTCAACAACTTTGAGCGGAAATATCTTATATGATGGAAGTTTAGGCGGTGGCATATATTGTTTATGGATGCCGAATACATTTATAGAGATACGTTAATTTAACGTTTTGATTGTTTTTTTTCAAATTTTTTTATGTCTGACAGCGGAGTTGGGAATGAGATACCATCAAAGCTATATTTGCCCTCATGCCTGGTATATCTATTATTAATGCGGCATTTATTTTCTCCCACAACATGTTTAGCTAATAAAGCCCACTTGAAACATAGCTGATCTGAGTTTTGAGGGTTAATAGTAGCCCGTTTATAATCAACGCATGGTGGGAGTTGAATAAAAGAAGAGCCGGACAATGGAGAATATTTATAAATCCCCAATAAAATTCCGTCAATGTTTTGGAAAGAAAATCCAGAGCCCTTACCAGTATATTCCTCCTCCTCATATTTCAATTTATTAAAACAATCTTCTAAAATTGACAATAAATCGCTATCTGCGAAAATCTCCCTGGCCGAGGTTTTAAAAGCTCTATTCTCGGAAGAATTTTCTACGTTAGGTCTATTATATGTAGCCTCTATTTTCAAATTAAATTTAATCGGCAAACAATGTTTATTAATAGTCTCTACTAAAGCGGATTTGATGGACTTGAAGAAATTCGAATAATTCTGTACATTATTAATATTTTTATAATAATACCACACAACCTTACGGTTGTGTGCTGATTGAATTTCTATGAATCCTAAATCTGATACTGCTTGAAGTCTAACTTTTTTTAATTTCACTGCAGTTTCAGTATTTTCTATATGTATTCGTTTATTACCTAGTCGCGTAAAATAACCTAAAATTAAAAATATATTTTTAAAGGTATACCTAGATCAATATACATCATTGTATAGTTCAGAAAACCTATAGGTCTAACTCGTGACAAATGTAAAAATTTAAGAGTAACTAACCTTGGGTAGTGTTAAGAACAACTGAATACTATTAGTTATATTATTCTATAGTTCTTGTAGTATAAATGTAATAATATTGTAAACTGATACGTGTGTGACACAGGCGAGTAGGACTCCCTTCTCCATACGACTGGTCTAAGGAATCTGCTGAATAAACACTTTTTGAACGGGCGACCAGCTCGTATGCGGGGCTCGCACACGTAGTAGTTAGTGTTGGTGTTACAACAGACCATTACAGACCATTTTCAGAGTATTTATTATAATTAAACGTCATTACAATTAAATAAAGAATATTATTTTGAGCCAAAGTAATTTAAACTCGTTTTATTTTATTTGTGTGGAATCGCTAAGTGGTGCGTCCATAACATTTTTGGTGGCAGCGGTGGGATACGACTATTAGTCAGTATCCGTTACCACGAGTAAAAGAAATTACGCTATAATTTTATTCTCGTATAATTGTGTGATCGTTTAATCATCAACAACTTCAAAACATTAAAAGGCTCGTCAGAACATTCACAAACTACAGAACATCTACGGAATATTTCAAGTAATATAATTCAATATCACATATAACGTAACGCGTCGTATTAAACGGGTAAGCACAGCGTGAGAAAGGGTAGCGTCAGCGATTTAACG